CTGAAAAGTAGAAGTTGTGTGCTGAGATGTCCAGAAAATGTGTGTCCATTTTAAGATCTATTCCATCTGGTTTGTTATTCTCAAGGAAGGGGATTTTGGTTATATGACTGAGCATATGAAAGTAACTTCTTTTCATAGTCATTTTGATTAGTCTTCCCTTACAATCCTTTAAAAGAAAGGATGAAGATTATCTTAAGTCTTTATTTAAAATAAATAAAATGAAATTTCAAGTATTCTCTAGATCGCATTTGAAAGTACATGAGTATTTATTTATTCTTGGTGGTATCTATCTTTTTATCCTATTTAGCTGCCCTTTGGGCAATAATTAAGATATGATGGATATTCCATATTCAGTCTTCTGGCTGCCCAGCCTGTGCAGTATGGGGCAGTTTTACATAAATAAGGAGTTGTACAGGAAAAACTAGCAACACAAAATCTGGTTTTAATAGTCCTATTAAATCCTCTGTTATCTGTATTAGCTGGAGTCTGCTTCAGTCTAAAGAAATAATGTGGGACCTGTTGGCTTCAGCAGGATTTTATTGAAATTTGAGATAGAGGTTCTTTTTTTTTTTTTCCTCCTCCTTCTGGTGTGTTGTCTCTCTATTATATTTATGTCTCCTACTTACGAGATCCCCCAGATATTTTCATTTTTAAGAGGAGGGTTGATTTGGCCAAGGCACTTGAAAAGGCTTCTGTGGACTCCTGCTTCGTCAGCTGGTCTATATTTATTTACATGCATAGACATGATCATAAATAATTCACCATTCATCTCAACAAGAGGAAATTACATGCTACATTATTCAAGAATGTACAGAGACGCTGCCTGTTGTGTAAAGGGTGTAAGATTCTGCCAGTGAACCAACAGCAGTTTTGCAACTAAAATAAAAAGACATAAATGGTTTATTATCAACTCAAGTCTCCTACATTTTCTTCTGTCTGCAGTTTGCTTCCTACTTCAGTCAGTACTGAAATACAAAAAAGGTAAACTGTGTCTGTGATTACAACTGCTGGAAATGCTGAATGGGAAAAGTGACAAAGAGATGCTTTGGATTGCTTGCTTTTGTGAGATGAATGAGGAAAGCTTGGGCTGCTTACACTGGGGAAAATCCTGGCATGCATCCTGCACTGCACAGTGAAAGAATGGGGAATGAATTTAATTAAAACCTCTTGGTGAAGAAAGGGAGTGGCTGTAGGGAATTATGTTCTGGCTTTCGTGTGTTTATTACAGTGGGGTTTTATGGCATGAACACGACAGTGGGAAATCATATTAAATGTAAGTCTGCAACTAACACTTACAGATCCATCTCTCTGTGTTCTGTTAGCTGGGTGGTGCCATGCTGCCCTGTGGTAGGTCTTCAGAGATCATCTATTGAAGCAGCTTGTTGCAGTGTGTAAGCTGGCAGAGTTATGGTTGCTGGTGAACTTCAAATTCTTCCTCCTGACTGGTGTGATTAAGATCTCATTTATGCTGTAGCCTAAGCATATTTCTTTTTTCTTTTGCCCTTGTATCACCTTCCCTATAAAGCATTTTCCTCAGCTTGCAAAGATGTAGTTAATAAGATTTTTCTTTGAGTTTATATTCACTGCACCTGACGAGGGTTCAATAAATTCCAGTCCGTTTTATTAACATGCAAATGGACATAAAATTGTATGGAGAGGCTTATGCAGCATTTGTATAATCCTGTGCTCTGGATCCATTAATGCATCTCAGATGGCTCTTTTAAGAAGTTTGAGAATTAATGTCAAGTACCCAAACCTTGAATTGATTGTGCAGGAGTGTCTCAGATCAATCTGTTCAGCCACTAACACCAGGCGAGTTTTAGGTCCCAATTAGAGGAGGACTGGAATATAAAAATAGATTTTTTTTTCTTTTAGCAGTGCATAGTAACTGGTCCCTCTGAGGTGTGGGCTGATTGTCAAAGTGGAGGAGCTTAGGGAGGAAGGACTGCTCAAAAGTACATGTGTATCACCTAGTATGTTTAATTGTACTGATGCTGTATGGTTTTTTTTCTAGCTGCCCAGATGTTACAGCTACCAGCATAACCTGCTGTCTGTTCTTTGCACTTTTTTCCAAGAGGTTGCTGCTTTCACCTGTTTTCTTACTGAGGCCCTTGTTTCCATCTCCTCTTTTTGTGCAGTGTTTTTTTTTTATTTTTATTTTTTTATGGAACTGTTCTCTCTTCATGATTTCTCCTCTTGAAACCTCTATTCCATCCTCCATGAATGATATTCAAATCAGCCCTCCTTCAGTCTCCTCCCACCAACCTTTTTTCCTCAGTGAAATTATCTGCTCAGGTGCCATATTGCCACTTGAACAGTTGACTGATGAAGTGGAAACTTTTCTCTTGTTGCCAAAACCTCCCTTCCTTGTCCTCCCTTTCTCCAGCAATTGGAACTGCCCATGTCATGGTGTTGGAGTAGGTGATCTCCAGAGGTCCCTTTTCACCCTGATGAGAAAACTGCTGACCTTTTTCCCACTTCAGTCTTGTATCTTCCTCTCTCCTTGCCACTATGTTGGTGCTGAAGAATGGAGGTGTTGGGGGAAGCGAGTGGCTGCTCTCACAGATGTCCACATGGGGACAGACAAAGGTTGCCAAAGTGATGGAACCTTTCTATCCAAATCAAGTGACAAAAGCCAAAATAAATGTTGACCTTCAAAGGCATAAGTTACAACTTCATTTTTTTCAGCATCTTTTATTTTCCTTTTCAGGTTTTCTTAAGTTTACTGCTTCATTTTTGGCTTTTCAAAATTGCTTTAAAATATTTCCTGTCTTTAGTTCTCAAACCAAAGTAATTCTTAGGATTCTTAGAAATACAAAATGTAAGTATTACCTAGAATATTGAAGCACGTGTATCATCTGTCAACTTTTGTATTTGACCATTTGTCTTCTCCAAACAGAGATTTACTTGACCTGAAAATGTGGATATTCCCAGGGAGGGATTTAATACACTCCAAAACCAGAAATTGTAGAGGAACTACACCTTAATGTGCTTTAGTTATGACCATCCCTTGGAAGGCTGATCGCTTGGTTATGCATTTAAGTGTCTGCTCTGAGTTCTGCCTGCAATCATAGAATCACAGAATTGCTCAGGTTGGAAAAGACCTTAAAGATGATCAAGTCCAACCGCAACCTAACAATGCTACTCTAACAATGCCAAATATGAGCACAGAGGTTAGCACAAACAATTCTGAATATCTCCGGCCATTCTTTGGCTGTGAGCAACCGTGGTGGGGAAGTTTTATTAGAGGATGGCACGTGCCTTTTGCAGCATGGTCCTTCAGCCCGAATGTGGCACCCACAAGTGCTCAAGCTCTCGGAATGAGGAAACATCCACTTGAGTGGCTCCTGCACAGCCTCACCTGTACTGAAGTGCTGGCATTTGAGAGCATTTGCTGAGTCAAGGCCTTGTCTTGGATTTGCCATGCTGATGGTACATTTCATTTAACTAACGCATCTTGACGTTTTTATTGAGCAGTATGTTTTTAAGATATATTTGACAAGGAATGCTGAAAGCATCTTGCTGACTTTTCTCTGTTACTGGTAGTTGCTCTTGTCCCAGAGCCATTAGGTCCAGAAGCCAGAAATCCTGATGTGAGTTTTTGCTTACGTCTATATTTCAGCCCTTAAATTTACTGAATGCTTTCCTTGTGGCTTCTTTCATTGGCTGTCGTTTGACCTTCTTCCCTGTGGTCTTGAAAGCAGGCTGTTGTCTTGTCTCTGCCTCATCTCTGTCCTGGATTCTTGCCTCATTTCAAGGAAGCTAATGTAAGGCTGTTGTGCACAGAGGGTGGGAATTTAACCTGTGTTATTGGCTGCTACCCAAAATGAGCAGATCCAAAGCTGTTACAGAGGTCAGCGAGCAGATGAAGGAGAGACAGTGGTGTTACCTGTGGCAGCCACAACTATTTGCTGATGTGGGCAGGAGCGTGGGTGGAAAAAAAAAAAAACCAGCAACCCATTGTAGACCCGAAGCCAAGCATTTCCCAGGTTTAATATCGTGAGTACTGTAATTAATGTCCTTAGCATGCAGGAGGCATCTTTCAAATGCTAGCGTGAAATTGCTGGTGATGGATTGTAGTTCTGCCATAACCTCAAATGAAGGTGAACGTGAGTATTACTCAGTTTGCTCTTCTGTTTGACAGTATATATGGCTTTGTTTCTTTAGGTTACGCAGCACAGATCCTTGAGAGCATCTCTGGGACGATGAAGCTTCCAGGAGCAGCAGCAGCCTGGTTTGGAATCTGAGTGCTTTAAGAATATCTGGGAATTTCTACCCACATTTGCCTATTCCAAATCAGAGGACAATGAATTCATTTTATTTTTTGCATATTTTCACACTACATAACAGTTTTTCTTCTTTCCCGTTTTGTTCAATGGGAAAAACTTGAGCCAATGGTGCAGCTGATTCTCACTTTGCCACGTTCCTCCTCCTGAGCCAAATTCCTGGAAACCACGTCCACAGTACGTCTATTTTTGTAGCTGGTGTTCTTTTTTCTGCATATGCCACACGTCTCTTTTGGAGTGCTAACTATTCTGGGTTGAACCTGCCCTTTTATGTTGAAGAGAATTCATAAAATCACTCAAGGAATTAAATAATTTCAGTATTGCAGAAGATGACTCATGCTTCAGAAATGTTTTTGTGGCTGTCCTTGGCTTGTTAATGCGGGAGTTTAACAGTATTAATATGAGGCATTGCATTAATTGTTGCATACACTTATTACCAAATGACTTGAACAGACAGTGTTTCAGATGTCGTGGCCATAGCCACAATAACCAGAAGTGTCCTGTTTGCAAAGGAGAAAATAGAATCCCTTTGTACGCTGATAGCAAGCAGATGAAGTTGCTTGCAGTTTTGGAAGTAAGGACTGATCACAGTGAAAGCTGGAATGGGTTTTTCTGCTTGAAGAAGGGGAAGCTATGCAGCTTAATATTTGGGTTGGTTATAATGACTCTAGTGATGGCATCCTATGTACTGACTGGAGCCAAGCACGGCCTGTTGTTAATACCATCTCCCTTCCATTACGGAGCTTTTACAAGCAATCCAAGCTTAATGGACAATGAAAGCCTTAGTGACATGAAAGACCATTACCAGCCTTCTAAAATTAATATTTCATACGTAAAGGATTATCCAAGCATTAAATTAATTATTGACACTATTACTTCAAAGATAGAGTTTATAACGAGACAGCGCCCTGGTTTAGAAGAGCTGAGGAAACAAGAGCCACATGTAAGTATGAATTAAAGCATCTGAAACCGCTGCATGTTGGTTTGTTTTGAGGATTTGGGGTCGATTTTTCTGAGATGAAAACAGTGCAGCTACTCTGATGTATGCATTGTGATTCACACCACCCGGAGCCTCCTGATTTACGCCTGCTGAAAAGCTGATATTACAGACCACATCCTTCTGAGTCACAGGCAAAATGGATGGGCTGTCTAAACGGTCTTGACACCTGAAACAGAAAATCAGACAGTCTTCCGACAGCTGTACCATCTAATTGAATTGAGAACCTTGTCTCACTCAAAGTCATTCTGAGTTAGTCACATCTGCCAGCAACCTGAAATGATAAATAAGGAAGCAGCCTTTCTATCGGCAGTATGCATTCCTGAAAAAAAAAAAATGGACATTGCAGACATTTCAGAGTGACTGTAGTTCATACTGGAAGTTAATCTGAGCATTACAACTTTGACTTGAAAAGTTAATTCCTGGGGTGGCAGTGAGGTGGGGAAGTATGGATTCTGGCCTTAAAATCAAAGCATTTCCCATTGTATTCCTCTCCCAGTTCAACTGTTTGTACTGGATTTGGTTCCAATGCCACTAGAAGTTATTTTTTTAAAAAGCTAAGGAGTTATGTCCAAATACTGTTTCTATTGTTTGCTTACTGTGCTAAGTTAGAAAAACAGAGTTGCCATTTTTTTTGCTGCCTGTACTGAAATTGTTGTTCTTTATGTTGCAGATGTTTTCAGTAATTCCTAATAAATTCCTTCCAAATAGCAAGAATCCTTGTTGGTATGAAGAGTACAGAGGAAACACAACCACAGACCCTTATACAACAAACTCCTATGCACTCTATTCAAAGCGTTTTCGAACCATATTCGATTACCTCAGGAAGGTGTTTTGGAACCACTTGTACCATTACAAGGACAAACACTACCGGCTACGCTGTCTCCCCCATTTCTACATCATTGGGCAGCCCAAGTGTGGGACGACGGATCTGTACGATAGACTTCGGCTGCACCCCGACGTTCGGTTCTCAGCCATCAAGGAGCCTCACTGGTGGACGAGGAAGCGCTTTGGTGAGTCAACGTGCCTTCTGGTATTCAGAAGAGCTGCCTCTATGAAGCTTTGATGCTTCTTGTATGTATCCAGGATGAATTGGCTGGATTTGTTGCGTGCTGACTGACTTTGTTGTTTAAAAAAAATGTATATCCAGGTGACAGGTGGTTTTGTTTGGTGATATTTTGGGTTAAACCTTTGGATATGTTGCATGTGAGAGAGTAAGGGGTCTGGAGCACGAGGAGCAGGGATTGTTTAATCTGGAGGAGGTTCAGGGGAGACCTCACTGCACTCTACAACTTCCTGAAAGAAGGTTGTGATGTGGAGGGTTTGGCCTCTTCTCCCAGGCAACGAACAGGACCCGAGGAAATGGCTGCAAGATACACCATGGGAGATTTAGATTAGATATGAGGAAAAACTTTTTCTCTCAAAGAGTGGTCAGGCACAGGAAGGGGCTGCCCAGGGAGGTGGTAGAGTCACTATCCCTGGTGGCGTTTGAGAGGATGATGTGCTACAAGATATGGTTTAGTAGTTTAGTGGGTAGTATTGGTGATAATAGGATGGTTGGACTAGATGATCTTGTAGGTCCTTTCCAACCTTGTGATTCTATGACTTTACGTTTCATCTGGTTTGTTAGCAGCGGTTTGGAAAATCTAGGGAAAAAAAAATATTAAAATCCTGGATAAAACTGGTGCTGCTTTGAAAAGCAGGAAGAATAACAGCTAGATTGTGCTGGAGATTTAAAGAATAACAATAACTGTTTTGCTTTGCAACATTTTTCTGTAAAGCCTTTTTTAAATGAATAGTGCTGGGTTGGTATTTGATACATGGTTTTCTTCAGTCCTTCTGATTCAGTAAAATACAGCTGGTTTTGGTAGCAGCTTTGCTAGTGATACAGCTCTAGTCAGATGCTCTGTGTGAGACAACTCTCTGTCAGGAACCTGGAAGGAACCTGGACGTATTTCTAATGCTTTTCCTCCTGAGTGGCATCAATATTTCATGACATGACTCTTCGTCTCTAGAGGCAGACAGCAGCTGAGGTTATGGCCTGCTGGAGCAAGGCACATCCATCTCTTGTGGTTGCTTCTTCAAAGGGTGGCTGAGAGCCATGGGCCTGACTGCATCATTTTATCCAACTGAAGTGTTTATGTCCTTTGTGTTCTCTTTCCCCTGGGTGCCAGCACGGGTCAGTCTTGTGGTTAAAGACTAGATGAGACTCGGCAGGTCCAATTTTAGTTCTTGGCTTTGTTTTGTGCTTAGTGCTTTCCTTAGTACTCAATTTATTCCACCCAGGAACACTCTGTGTTTTCCCACTGATTGGGAAAACCAAGGTTGGGTCCAACTGCTCAGAGCTGGGACGCTGATATCAAAGTTCACAGGATTTCAGTGATAAAACCATTTCCAAAGGGAAGATGCTGTTTATTTTCCAGTGACACTATCTATGCTTCTATTACAGGAGTTTTGGTCTTCACTGCTTGCTGGGATGGGCTCAGCCATGGATCTGGGATTTCTAACCTATACACAAATGGCTTTGTTTTCTTCTCAGGATTTGTGTTTTCCTTCTTGGCAAGTGCTGTGAGAAAGTGGTTCATTTCAAATTCTGAGTGGTAGCTCATATGTAGCGTAGCGCAGAAGTAGCTCAGAAGCAATGAGCTTGGCTTTCATAGAATCATAGAATGGCTTGGGTTGGAAGGGACCTCAGAGAACATCAAGCTCCAACCCCCCTGCTGCAGGCAGGGCTGCTGACCTCCACATTTAACACTAGGCCAGGTTAGATGTATACTTTCTTTGTTTTGAATACAATTAACCCTCTTCAAAGTATTGTAGACATTTCCTGTTATAAATTAAGAGTTAAAGCAAAATGATGAAAACACAGTTTTGCTTTTGAGGTAATTAGCTCCAGTTCTGGAGATGCTGGAGGTACCAGTGTGCATGGGGCTAGTTGAGAACTCAAGCTAGAACTATCATGGTTATCAGGGAGCCTCATGAGAAGGAGCTCATTCTGCACAGGCAGAGGCTGGCTGAAGATGAACGATAAGAACTGCCTTCTAGGCTGAGGGAGGAAAATCAGATCAGTGAAGAAAGCAGATTTGAGACTTGGATGCTGTGAGTGCCACACTGCTGCTTTGTGGATCTGAAGGTGCAGGGACCATCAGCAAAGCCATCTGTAGAAGTTTGTTCCTTCCATGAGAGTATCTCTTTCATGACAACTTTCTTTTCATAATTTTTTTTTTTTAAGTTTTTAGTTTTTGAAAGCTGAAGAATGAGTAAGGCTTGCAGAACCTGGGATCTGGCGGGAGGGAGATTGGTAGAGCTGACCTGTTCATCATTTCAGGCTGTCTGCCATTTGGGAAGACTAAATTCTTGTTTCCCCAGGAGTACTTTGTCTGGTGGTTGCTATTTGGATGGGGAGGTGTATAAAACAAATAGTCTAAGCTGTGAAACTGAGTCAGCTCCCTTTAAAAGCCAGCTTGTGGGTATGACTCCTATGCTGCTGGCTGTTAAGTCGTTTAGTTTCTAACACTTATCTGGAGAAGAAGGTCTCTTTGTTCTATGGCATTCTCTAATTCAGTGATTTTTACAAGACTGACTAATTTCAGCTAAAGCCAAATAACCCTCCTGGGAAGGTCTCATTTCACAAATCATCGCTTTCCTGTTCTGCTGGGGTGGCTGATGCTTGGCAGGACTTTGTCCCAGCTTGATTCTCTCTCTTTTCTGGCCCTTAGCCACAGCTTCCACTCACAGGTGTGGTGTGACAATAAATGACACTGCGCATGCAGGGAGAAGGCTGGTGTCATTCAATGTTCCCTGGAGTGTGAGGTGGGAGAGGAGAAATAAAGTGCCGATGTGGAGCCTTGCTTTCCTGCTTCTAAAAGAGGAACACGTGAATGATTTCCTAGCTCTTTTTTTGCTGAGTGCAAGTTGGTTTGCATATTTGTCATTAGAGTCTGGTTTTAATCTCAATATAGTAACTCTAGTGGGAGTCCATATTACTCTGGTTTATACTGCAGAATCTGGTCTTTTATATTCATTCTTAAAGCTAAATTCAGAAGAAAATAAATACAAGCTATTCATGCAGGAGCTATGAAACAGATTACTTAAGATATCTGCTATCATTGTGAATTTATAGCTTAATCGTATAGTATCTTGCATCTCGGCTGCTTCATTATTGGCACTTCTATCTGAGTGTTACACTTCATGGCTCTAATTTTGTGCTGCCGTTAGCTGGCTCAGATCCAGAAATGTTAACGAGGCTGTCTTCATCTACCCAGCAGTTAATCTTGCTCTGCATATCTATATCTATTTAACTTCTCTCTTTTCACTGTTTCTAGGAATCATTCGTCTCAGGGATGGATTTCACGATCGCTACCCAGTGGAAGATTACCTTGATCTGTTTGACTTAGCAGCTCATCAAATTCAGGGTGCGCTGCAGAGCGAGGCTGGAAAAGAGCACAGCGAGATGAATAACATCATAATTGGTAAGGCAGATACAGCTTCCTGAAATGTTTGTATCTGTGGGCTCGTAGCATCTGGAGTTGACGCGTGAGAGGGGCACTTCTAGGTGTGACTGATTCACTGCATGGGGCTGCTGATATTGGTTTTCTCTGCTGTGTGTGGGTAGTGCAGAAGTTGTTAGAAGATGCCAGAGAAAGCAAAGCATGCTTGATGAACATCAGCATTTAATTAAATAATACAATAAAAAGAGAAGAAGGGAATTTGGTTACTCCTTCCAACATAGTTTGTATTTTGCTCTTATTACAAAGGTTTGCCTGTAGCTTCAGGTTCAAACGCTGCAGTGGTGTATGTTTCCCCCAGACGTAGCAAACAAGTTGTGCCATTTGTTTTTACAGTCCTGTAGAAATCTTGAGCAACACTTTCCATGGTAGCAATGCAACTCCAGTTGGTTCTTCTCAGGCTCCTTCGTAAGAGATATGTAGGAAGATGGGCAACCATTTTGTGTGCCATCATCCCTATGTAGCCTGTGGTGGATTGAAATAACCTTGGTGAAGCCCTTGAGCTGTTTTGTTACCAACAGAGGTAACACAAGTTCCTAGCAGGAAAATACAGGGTCAAGCTGAGGCTGTCTTGTGGAACTAGGAAGCACAGTCAGGATCCAATCAGAAGATAATTTTATGGTTCCAGTTGATATTACCTTACTCAGCATTAGAAATGTAAAGGTCCAGTTTAGAATTGTGTTGCTCTGTATGGGAGCCTGTGGTCAGATCCAGGCTTCACGAAGGGTGCCTGGATTTGCTCTCCACAACACATGGTGGCCAACGCACCTTTGTGCATCTGGATTATGGTGCCTGTGAGGAAAGTCAGCAGGTGTTCTTAAGTTCTGGTTTTGCTTTCTGCTAGAAGCTGAAAACCAAGGGAAAGGCACTTTGCCTCAAAATCAGCCAGGGAAACTAAATGTTGGCTGGTTTGTTGAAAAGAGACTTTTGAAGTAAGCTGAAGTCCTACAGAAATTGGGGTTTTTTGCTTTCCCCCCTTGGACGGAACACCTTCAGAATCTTCTTCACATTCTGACGAAAGAATAATGAACCTATTGTTGACTTGATGAAATGGTGACATTGTCTGCCATCGCCCAGCCTTGGCTGCAGTCGTGTCTGTGTGACACCACCTCAGCCTCTGTTGAAGTCTGCCATCTGCACTATCAAATATTCGGTGCTGAGCGAAACTTGTAAGACTAAGAAATATTGCCATCAAGGACATCTGCAGACTTTCCTCCTACTTACAGTAATATCTCCTGCCCTTTTATGGGTGAAGTGTTTATACTAATTATATTCCCTAATCTAATCAGCAGTGTACATCTTTGATTACTTACCTCCTGTTGTAGCTTTTTCTGGAGCTCGATTGTGTTTCTTTTTCCTGTAGTCTCATTTCTTGTTTCATTAAGGTTCTGTTCACCTTTCTTATTAAGTTTACAGCAAAAGTCTTGAATGATTACTCTCATTAAGTCATTTTTTTATTACCTTGGTTCAAAAAAAAACCCAACAAAACACACAACCCACAACAACTCTAAAACAAGGCTATCTTGTCTAACTTGAATTTGTGTGAATATCAGGTTTGCTTAGAATCCTCCTCTTCCTTATTTTGAATGATTGGTAACAAAAATCTAATTAAAGCTGTGAGCATTTCAGTTGTTCATCATGTTACATGATTTTGAGAACTTCAGCTTTGTTGGATATTCTACTTAGTGGGTAATAATTGCATTTTTGCAAATTGAGTGATGTCTGCTGAGAGATGAACCAAAGCAGGCAGTGCTGCTCTAGCTTGAGGCATTCCAAGCAGCACTTGTTTATCTGTGGTCATTAAAAGGATGAGTTCACAAGATTGTCTTTTGAAAATATAGTATGATTATAATCCATTAACGACCAAATATAGAAGTTATACATTCATTCTTTAGGCAGCTTATTAATTCATATTTTCTTTAAGTCCATAAGAAAAGATAATTTTTTTGGTTGCTCTGCAGTAATGAGACGTAATTACCAGCAGTGTTTAATTTATCTCATGTCTAGTGTGGCTCACTCTTTGCAGATATTAAATCTGCATTATTACACAGAAGAGAATACTGTCAAATTACTAGGAGGTGGGGTTTTTTTGGGTGTATCAGGAAACTAAAATTATAAGAGTCAGGAGAGACCAGAATGATTTTATTTTTTTCTCTCTTTTAAATTCCTGATGGCTGTCTTGTTTTGAGAAGAGTTGCCTTGTGGAACCCAAGCTCTCCAGGGCTGTGCACTGGGGCAGCACCTTAAGTTTCTGTTAATGCTTCAGCGTTGTTTGGTGTCTCTAATTGTCCTTTGCTTCTGCCCCACTTGTGGATGCTGGTAGTGGCAGGTGATCCACCTGAGATTATTTCTGTGGAGTATTCTGGTCTGTGGCAAGAATATCATCCCATTTATGACTAAGTGCAATGACTTTATTTGGTTCTGTTAGCATCTGTGTATGCAGATGTTGTGTTCAGCTTTGTTCCCCCTACATGAGTTAATTAGGGAAAATCCTATAGAGAGCATCAAATATGGTCAGAAGTCTTTGGAGCAGTGGAGTATGAAGGAAGATCAAAAAAAGCAGAGGAAGAGGCTGCGTATGAGAGGACGTGGAGATGGTGGGGATCTACAGTGCAGCCAGACACGTGTTGAGCAGAATGCTTCCCATTGTAAGGACCACGAAGCACAGGAATAGGGCTCCTAATGAGGTTCTAGACTTCAATCATCAGCATGATTGAGGCAAACGTTGCTCAGGAAGTGTTTTCAGCTCAGCCTTTCCTGTTGGGGAGATGTCGTGGTGGCTGCCTAAGGCTCTTCCATCCCTGCAGCATGTTATCCTGTCGCTCTGGGTATGCCTCCTGTCCTTCTCTGCTGGCACAGCTACAGCTGTGTGATGCTTCCTGGCCCGGCCATCTCCTCTTGTCCTCTCTTGGGTCTTTTATGCTTCTGCTTTGCACAGCATGAGATCTGGGCCGAGTGCATTTCAATTGACAAGTCAAAGCATGCTGATGATCAGGCAGTGCCTTGGTTAATTAATTTAGAGCGGAAAAGCAGAGCTGTTGTGGACGCCCAGCTTTAGCCAACAGACCTGATCTCCTCTCTTTTTGAAATGAGGCAAAATGAACATGACAGAAGATTAATGTGTTTTCTAATGACTCCAAGACTTTACTAATGAATCACATTATGCTAAGCTGGTTTGGAACAAATACCTATTTCACTTTGTGTTTTGGCAATCTTTTAAAGTCTTTATTGGACTTTCCCAAGAGAGGAAAACAAGGAAAATCATGTGAAAGTCTACAAGTCTGTAACATTATTATTTTTTTTCATCTTGTTACCTTTCATTGAAGGAAAAAAAAAATTAATGAAAAATCTCATTAACAAGAATTAGCTTTCATTAAACTTTCAAAGTCTGGAAGTTGCCAAAAGGTTTTTATATATGTTTTATTAACATATCCATGCCATGTGAATGCCAGTATGACTTCCAAAGAGTGGGAAGGCCGAACCATTCAAAGCATCATACCAGATCATTTATTCAGTAGTTGGAGCATCACACACCTTGCTCTGATGGGGATGCTGCTGTTTGTGCTTCTCCCTGTAGCACTGCTTTGAGAGTAAGTAGCTTAAGAATCTAAGAATGTAAGAATCTGACACTTAACCATCTGTTAATCTTTAATACTTGACTTCTTTCATAAAAGGATGCTTCAAATTGCAGTGACTGAATTTAGTGCCAGTGCTTTTGTTCTATTTCCCACGTGCTCACCAGCTCTCCTGTTTCTGTTCTAAGCAATACCGATCCACTGAAGTGCTGGTTTCCACTTCTTTCACTGGTTTGTTGCAAGCTGTAGCTAGCAGTGTGAGCATTCTATCTCTGGGGAGCAGCAGCCAGAGCAGTCTGCAAGAACCAGTAGGGTGTGCTGGAGTTTGCAGCTTTTAAATGGTCCATAACAGCGATCAGAATTCCACTCTGATACAAGAAATGAAATGACTTACCAGGAGAGATGCTTTCTATTTCTAGGTGAAGCCAGTGCCTCCACCATGTGGGACAACAACGCGTGGATTTTCTTTTATGACAACAGCAGCGAAGGAGAACCTCCCTTCTTAATCCAGGATTTTATCCATGCCTTCCAGCCAAATGCCAAACTTATCATCATGCTGAGAGATCCTGTTGAAAGGTGAGCAAGGGTTGTGTTGTAAAAGTATGCGAGAACATTTACATGCCTCAGTGTAAATAATCCTGTGAAGTGCTTCAGTTCATATTAAATAATAAGCTTTATGCCTTCAAGGACATACCACTCCAAATAAATAAGATTGCAAAAAGCTCCAGAATCAGCTAGTGATAAACTTTTTTAGTAATAAAATGCTTAGTGCACCATTCAGAGCTCATTTAGACAATGTTATCTTGCTGAACTAAGAACTACTTAGGAGCTCATCCTTGGCCTTCCTGTCTTTGTGAAGGAAGATCTCTATCTTTGCAAAAGTGTAAGCTGCTCTTGAGTGGTTTTCCACTGTTTTGGTCACGATGTCCTTTCTATCTGCATTTTACTTCTCTCTCCTGTCTTTTAGGGGACTTTTTTCTGCTGTGTCCTCGGCAGGAGGAGGAGGAGGATAGATATTGGGGAGGGTGGAGGAGAACTTTTCAGGTGCCTATTCAGGTTACTTGGGCCAGGTTACTGGGGTCCCTGTCCCTGGAGGTGTTAAAGAAGTGTAGAGATGTGGTACTGAGGGATGTGGTCAGTGGGCATGGTGGGGGTGGGCTGAGCTTGGTGATCTTAGTGATCTTTTCCAACTTGTGAGAGAGGCAAGCAGGATGCAGATGTCAGCAGGCACCTACACACGAGCTGCAGAGCTGTGCAAGTGCTGCCCATCTCCCATGAGAGCAAATACAGATCTCAGCTTTTAACTGCTTCTCCTGACCTCAGGATTGAGCAGATGATAATGCTATGCAGGAGAAGTAGTTGAAGTGGCTCCCTCATGTAAATTAGCAACAAATTCCCTGATTGCTTTAACCATCCTCCATAATGTGCGTGCCATCTATAATAAGGATGAGATGGAAAGTGAGCTTCACCTCCCTTACTGTTTTTATAATCAATTGGCTTCTTTTTGTTTACAATTCCCAGTGCCCTTGTTGGTGACAGCTCACCTGAATGGCAGAAGGGGCACCTGGGGACAGTCACCTTGCAATATTTGGGAGGGTGAAGGAGCTGCACAGAGCCTGGTGCATGAGAGGCTCCCCAGAATGGGGGATGTTTGAAGAACCTCAAGGTTTGGGGTGGTGGGCATTTATATCTCATTGTAATGGATGGGTACAGAGGGTAATGACTTTAAGGAGCTGGAACAGCTGAAATCCCAATCAGTGAAGGTTTTATTTCCAAGCAGATGTCCCCAGAATTAAAAACAGATGGGAAGAAATACGGAAAATCTCTTGCTCTGCAGAGAGAGAGAGATTGTCTTCAATATTGTAGCTTTCCATAAGATGTCAGCAAGTCTTTAACAATCTGGGTTTACTTTAATGGATGACTAGAAATACTGAGCACTCCTATTAAGCCTTTCAAACAAGTGACATCGTGCCCATGCTGTATGTGATGCCTGCTTTGCCCCGTATCTCTGTCCCAGCTCATTGTTGCAGTCCTCAGGGGCTGTTGGGCATCAGTGTCCTCAGCACTGCACAGTCTGGGTACTGTGCTTAGTACTGTCCCTCTGCTCTGAAACAGAACCCTTCCATTTAAATACATTTTTCCCCCTCCTTTTATTGCTCGTGAAACAGGACTAATCCTTAACTTTTGTGGTAACTCTTCCAAAATACGAAGCAAACTGCCAGTAAGATATTTCAACATCTATTTTTTTTTAGGCAGTCAGCATTAAATTAGTATCTGTAGGATATCACTGATGCAAACAGTCTGCTGGGGTGTTTTCTCCAAGCAGTTCTTAAAACGCCATGATCAAACACAGCATGCAATGCATGGTATGGCAGAATAGTGTTAATTCTGTAAATGGAGAAACCTTTGTGAATTTTCTGCTTATACCATAGAGAACAAAGGTGCGATGCAGTGGCTGGGGCTTTGCACTGCCTGTGCAGCTGGGTGGCCTGCAGGCTGATGCCAGGCAGCATCACCTAAGCACTGAGTTGGTATCTGCCAGTTGGAAAGGATTGTCATTCTTTCTTAATAGTTGTTGCATTGAGTGCTACTGCTTTTTTCTTTTTTATAGTTTGCCGCAACTTCTATTTTAAAGGGTGTAAAAATTAAATGAAAGCCAGTCTGCAACATATGCACCTCTTCTCCTCCTTTTTAAGTGAACAGATAGTTATCATTTATGTCATGTGGGAATTAAGATCCTGTTGTTGCAAAACACCAAGATAAACAAGTGCAAAGGGGCTATTCCTGTGCTTAAGTGCTTTGCTGGATTAGAGCCGAACCTTTCCAAATAAAGTGATGAATTTTAAAGTACCTGTGGCACTTCAGGGAAGTTTAAAAATAAATAAAGCTAGGGCAGTACAAAAGGCTGCCACAGCAATAAAGCGTGTCTTTTGAATGAGGCTGATAGGATCAATGGACTTGTGTTGAGGGGTGGTGCTGTGGAGTTGTGATGTGCTGCAAACACAATGGGAAAGCAACTCCTTCTCAGGTTCTCAGGTGTTTTGAGGTTGACTAGATAAGAAAGAAAATGAGAATACCACGTTCCACAGATGGTTCACTGTCTTAATATTGATGCCACGCTACAGCGTCTGCCTGGTCTCTTTCAACCAGGTGTTGTTGGAAGAATTTAATCAAGTTCTTAAGGATTAACACACAAGTAGATCTGTTACTTGGATCTAAGTTTTGGACTGTTTTCCATTCCACTTTCCCCCAAGGGAAGAGATTTTAGGTGATCTTTTCCGAACAATGTTAAACAACCATAAAACATGTACTAAGAATTATGCCATAAGGGGATACCTCCTGAGCTGCAGCTTAGAGGAATTCCTGCTGCTGGTGGCTGACACAAGGCTCTGCTCCTACCCAGAGATGGGGCCATGTCCTGCCATCCTCAAAAATGGAGTGGGACTGGTAATTTGGGGGAATTTTGAGAAGTTGATGTAGAAACTATTTGGGATTTGAGATGGAATAACTGCAATAACTGGACTTTTTCCTATATTTTATTATCATTAATACCAGTTTGGTAACTACAGAAAAATCACTGTTTCTAACTCATCCCATTCCTCTTTTGGTTTTAGTTGTAAGCTTTTGAGAACTGTTTCTATCCATAGCAGTGCAGAGCATGTGGTACAGAGGGGTATCTGTATCACCTGAGACCAGTTCTAATGTACATTTAAATTACGTGTGTTCACTGGAACAGGCTGGCACTTGAGCAGGTTACCCAAATGAGCTTTGGGTGTCCCATCTCACGGGATGGTCAAGGCCATACTGGATGGGGCTCTGGGCAGGTTGGATGGCAACCGTGTACAAAGCAAGCACTTGGAACTGAATGTTCTTTAACATCCCCTCCAACCTGAGCCATTCTACATGTCCAAAAAGTTTGCATTTAGGAGATACTTGCTCATGCAATTTACTAGGGTTTGGATTTCATATCATGCTGACCTTGCAAGCAGGGATGAGGGTGAGTAGCTCCCTGGAGTAACTGCAATTCTGAGCCAAAACCCATCAAAATGAGTACAAAACGTGATGTTGCTGAACAGTGCGGGTGGGGCAGTGTTACTCACACATGGCTCTTCTCTCAATTCATGCCACTGATTGCAATTGTTATGTAAATAGATGGTCCTTCATTTCCTTTCTCATTTACTCGCACGTATTTCATTCACAGATTGTACTCCGATTATCTGTACTTTGCAAGTGCTAATAAATCTGTGGAAGATTTTCATGAAAAAGTGGCAGAGTCGCTGCAGCTGTTTGAGAATTGCATGCTGGATTACTCCCTGAGAGCCTGTGTCTACAACAACACCCTTAACAATGCCATGCCTGTACGTATTCCCAATGCCATTGGATTCCTTGCTTGTGGAACAACACGCTGTGTCAGGGTTATTAAAATGCCCAAATACTATGCCTATAAGCATCAAGAAGTAAAATTCTCTTTTCATTTGTAAAGTGGATGACATAAATACACATGCAGGCATGTAAAAGCTGATGTATTGGCTCAGCTGTCTCACCAGTCTGTTCCCTGATGAATGCCAACAGCAATAATATGGTGGTTCTATTGTGCAGGCGTATGGAGAGCACATTTAGTGAAGATTGCAGTTTAATGTGTAAGCTTTTTTGCAGATCTCTCAAAAAGTAGCTCTGGCAAGGATATCTGTGATATGAAATTGCCTCAAAATCAGAAAAAGAACTGTGTGTTCTTTTTCAAGGAAAGGCTAGCAGTAACTAGATAAAACCTTCTTTTTTAGAATTGTGGACATCCAAAAATGATGAGAAGTACAGAAACTGCTGCCAGGAGATCAGAATGCTGAGCCTGTCGTACCAGAATTCACATGTTTAGTGTAGAATTGGCTTCAAATTTTGCTTGAGGGAGAGAAGAAAGGCTTTGCAGAATAACATGGAAGAGATTGGCTTGAAGTATCAAGTCTCGCTAGTTTGCCATTTGATCCTGTTTTATTTGCTAAGACTTCAAAGGCCTTGGAGGGAATACTGCTCTCTTTTGTCACCAGGGTGAAGCTATTGCCTCCTCCAGTCAATAAAATAACCATAAATAAAGTACCACAGAGTTGTTTGCCAAACTGCTGTAAGAGCTGCAGGATATTCCTCTTCCTTACTTCAGCAGGTAGATGGGAGCTGCCAGGCTTGGATGGAAGCCTCCAGGACCTCACAGATATGAGCTGCTGCCAGGCAGCGTTATGATACTTCCTAGCCATCTGATTGCACAAATGTCTTCTATTATAGGGAAAGAACCTTTTTTTCCTCTCTTCTTCTGAAACACACTTCATTTGTTGTCTTAGGCAGCCCTCAGAAAATGGTATGAACACAGGCAGGTGTTTGTAATAAAACACAGATGCTAACGGTTCCTTGATGGACCTCAGCCTCTTCTTCAGCCAAGTTAATAGGCTCTTTTATGTGCATCATTTGCTGCAGACGTAGGGATTATTTTCCCCTAAGAGCTCATTCGATTGCCAGTTGTGACTTCTTGCTAATTGTTGTAACAGAAGAGTTTTGTTTTGCTACTGGTTAATATCTTCCTAAAAGAAGAGAGGCAAATGTCAAAGATGTTGTCACTGTAAGTGATGGGTGCCAACATGTACAGAAAGGGATGTTTGTTGGCTTGTACTTGTGGAGAATCAGTGAAAAATACATTAATTGGAGAAAGGCATGCAGGGTCACAGTGATCAAATCAAATGTGCAGATGCAGATGTTATGGGAGAGAGAATGGCTTGGGAAATTAATGCCTTTTGATGTGCAGGGGGAAACACTGGGACTTAGGAAGGATGTAATGTTCTGGAAGGATAATGGTGAAAAAGAAGTCAGTACAACATACTATACAGGGTAGAAAATTAAGTTTCTTTCTATAGCCAGGAAAACACATTATGATAATAATGACTCAGCAGTAATTCAAAATATGGATTATTTTGCTGGAATTCAGTCAGCGTAGGTTTCATGAGTCAATGTAAGAAACAAAAGAGACTTGTTATCTGTCTTCATCAGTTCCGTGGAAATGTGACTTGAAGTTAAGCATCTTTTATGAAAAGCAGTTATGATGTGGGAATTGTTCCTCTCTCTTAAGCCTGAAGAGATTTAGAAAAATATTCATAAGCGTAGCCAGAGGCTGGACTTCTAAGAATGTCAGACAACCCTTTTAATACTGCAACTTGTTATGTAAAACCAGGGCAGGGAGATAGAGACAGATTAGGTCAGGGCAAGCTTTCCCATCCGTTCTTGTCCTCACTGGTTTGCACAAATTGGTGCTTCTGCCATTTGGAGTGCATGGTCGGGCCGTTTGTCAAATGATTTCTCTCCCCTGAGACCATCTGCAAAGATTTCTATTAGCTGCACTGAAAACAAGAGGAAGATTAAAACATTTTCAGGACTGTCTTCTCATGGTCCTTCTAGAGAACAAGTCTGGGAGTTTTGCCCACGAGATACAGGCAAGTGTTGTAAATGAATTATTTTCTTATTTTTTTTCTGTGCTTACAGGTAAGGTTGCAGGTTGGGCTTTATGTTGTGTATCTTTTGGACTGGCTGACTGTTTTTGACAAAGATCAGATACTCGTTCTTCGCTTAGAGGACCATGCATCAAATGTGAAATACACCATGCACAAGGTGTTCCAGTTCCTGGATCTGGGTAGGTGTTGTCTGGCTGCTTGGAGATAAGTACACACAAAATTGTTGTTATCCTTCCTCTAGGTCATTTCTGCTTTATCAGCAGACAAAACAGAGATGTGTGAATCTGTCTTGAAGGATACATTGATGTTGTTGCCTTGAGTCAAATAAAATTCCCAAATTTCCATAGAACAGTTGGTATCAGGGGAACTTAAGGCTGCATTAAGAAAAAAAATCAAAACTTTGTGCAGCATGGAGAGAGAGCTTACCAGAAAGAAGCCAGCTCTGTTTCTGAAGGCAGGCAGGGCTTGTTTGTCGTGGGCTCACATAGGTGCAAGATCTATCTCATGCAGCTTAAATAACTTAAGTGCTACGAGGTTGTGAATGCTGTTGCCAACTAAAAATGATCCAGCATCTAAATCTGCATATGATGAAAGGTGGTGTTTTTAGCTGGGAAGAAAGGGGAAATCATATTTTTGCTGTGTTGACTGAGATACCTGTTGCTAATCCCTCGGCCAGCTGTTGCTCAATGTTGATTTGACAGTAGCAAGAGGACAAAAAATGGCTGTAGAATAGTCTGGCTGGTCCAAACGCTGGTCCAGATGATGAGAAAGTTTGAATGTAGCAGATTGAACAGATCAGAAGAGCTTGGCATCTTGAAAATGGTTTATGTTGGAAAAGTCTATGGGCTCTTTTCTTTCTGTCATACACAGTCAAGGGCTAAGATGTAATCCTGGAAAATGTGTATATACAACCATAGCTTTGTGTCAGTTTGATCCCACTGACAGCCTCAAAAACAACAACAAAGGGCCTTTCATGACACAAGTGAGTCCGATGGAGTTTCTATCTGATATTAGACAACTCACCTCATAAAAAGAAATAACAGTGTATAAGAAGTTTGACTCTGAAATGGACGGGGATTTATACTCAATGTCTTCGTTGTTTTCTGAAAACAGATCTTTTCCTTCAGAAGTGATTTATATTGCTGGTTTTAGGGATGATTAATTAACGTGAGAGAAAAAAACATATTATTTCCATATTTACTAAAAGTGATTTATTTTACTAATCTAAGTCTGTACTCAATATTCTGAAACGTAGTCTCTGCTAACACAAATTCCATTTGTCTTCCCTTGGCAAGCCTTCCAAGTTAGTCATTTGTCTTCTTTAGCAAGGGCATTGCTGGTGAAAGATATTAAGATAGTATTCTGTTTTACTGCAGGACCTCTAAGTGAGAAACAAGAAGCTCTGATTACAAAAAGTCCTGCGTCAAACACCAGACGACCTGAAGACAGAAGCCTGGGACCCATGCTACCAACAACAAAGGCAATTTTAAGAGATTTCTACAGGCCTTTTAATACAAAACTGGCACAAGTTCTTTTTGATGATGCTTTTTTATGGAAGAGGACGTAATCTGTAAATTTAGTGCCACAAATACAGTGCTTAAAGGAGTTTTTATTTTTTTAAATTCTATTTTTGTGCGTGGATATTTACATGTTTTTTCCCATTCCAAAGAGATGCCGATTGAGGAGATGAGACTCCTCTTCAGTCAGCACGCTTCGTGACAGCTGTATCACATTTTCCTTGTGAGAATGTAAAGCATCTTGCTTATCATTTTCTTGCAACTTCTTTTACCCCAGCAGAAGAATGGAGTGGAAATGCATTAGTACAGAGGTGATGTCTTACACTCTTGGCTGGGATGCTGAAGTGTAACCTTACCTAAGATGCTGCAGCACGGAGTCAGCATCATTTTCTTACAATTACACTTATAATCTCATTTTCAATATATGTAATTCATTCATTTTTTTTCAAACTATCAATGTCATATAGTCATTAAATTTTTTTAATTGAATTCAGGCAAGATTTTGTTTCTTCTTGTTCACAAATGGTCTTCACTCACACCAGGATTTCTGTATCTCCTTAATTCTGAAAGTAACCTTAATAGATAATCACACTTGCATACATTTCCAAGGCTGATTTATATCTTTAGTAAATGGGCTTTCCTAACCACGGTTCTTGTGGCTGTCTTAAAAGAAATTTTCTATTCACATAAGAATGAGTGATTGAAATGTAAATAATTGGCCATCTTCAAAGTTTACAGTAACAAATCCATTTGACTTCTGTTCTTTGTTTATACAAATATATATCACCTATTAATATCACACATTTTCCCAAGAAACAGCTGTTGGGCTTGATTTTTAAGTCCAGTGCTGGCCACGGTGAGCATTTATGAGTTTTCTTTTGGTTCCTACACAAGTGTTCTGAGCAGGAAGCTCAGCACCATCTGTCCTCATGGGAAAGTTATGTTAGCTGCTCAATCAGTTGCATGTTGTATCTTTGTTTCTCCAGAAAAGGTGTGTATAAACAGTTAAAAAGGGGCTGGAATTAAGACTTGATGGAAAGCTGTTTTAAAAACAAGAAACTTTGGATTCATTCTAATGTTTGGAATGGCTAAAGTAAGTAGTTTGGGTAAGTAGTTATGGTTGACCAGAACTGGTTAGCTCTGCTTCAGAAGTGCTTACAGATCAAGAGCTCTTAGAGAACTGAGAGTGGATTACTTCATGTTCTCTGGGTTAGAATCAACACGGTATGCTCAGGGAAACTGAACACTCATAGCCATGTATTCCTGTTTAGTTGTCAGCTAGATCCATGATCTGATGGATTTGATGATCTTCAAGGTCTTTTCCAACTGAGTGATTCTATGATGCTGTGATATTACCTCACCAGCCCTAAATGCTTGTGAGTTTTATTATTGTTTATAGTGTGTATGATTTGTTCACAAAATTAGTTAGTGCTATGCTGAGGCATGATGGTGAATTTCACCACTTGCCAGGGAGGTTCTGTCCCATTGCCTGGGTGTGCAATCTAAATTAAAATACACTGCATGGCCAAAATTTCTGCTCTGGGTTGGATCAGTCCCAGCACTCTTCACAGGTTCCCAATATGAAGGTGGATGGTGATGGCCACGTGTTCCCAAGTGTGGGTAAGTTCAGCAGAGAGCTGTGTTCTACATGTCACTGTTGTGTGTAGCTCCATAACGTGAGGAGGAGGAGCCATAACTATCAGTAACACGGCAGGAGCCTGTAGTCTTTCCAAAAGTGAAGTTTCCAATGTGTTTGCTTTTGCATCACCTCTTCCCTTTCATGAGCTCCATAAAATCAAATAACATTTGATTTTCTTGTGTAATGGTGGGTGTTGGGCCACTCCCCTGCAGCAAGAGCACCGCTGACCTTCAGTGGCTTCTCTCTGGACTCCAGCAGGCCCATCCCAAGATCTTCCACTTCCCTTTATCCTTTCTCTTGACAGCTAGAGATGCAAAAAGAATACAGTATCATCGTTATTATTCAGTGCAGCACTAAGTTGGCCTACCTCCCCAAAGCAGTAATTTGCCAGGAAACTGGACATGCTATCAAGACGTCGTGTTCTCATGTATGCCAAACTGTAGCAGTGGCTCTTTGCAAAGAGCTCAGAAAATGCATTCTTCTCTCTGTTTGCTCTTATCTCTGCTGAACGAAAGTAATCAGGTGAAGATGCAGCTTTCCTGAATCCAAAGGCACCAGGGAAGGGGTCAGTTCCAGATGTTTTTTTTGCTGCTACTGCAGAAGAATGTGAAATGTGTTCTCTGTAAGACCTTGCTCTCTCAGGCCAAGCACACCGGCTGGAAGATGCAGTGAGAACAAAGGCTCTCCTGCTAAGAAAAACAGGCTGTGATTTACACAGAAAAACAATACGTTGTTATCTGTTGAGTCCAGCAGGCTTGTAGGCTTCAGCTAAATAAGATAAACAGCGAACTTACCATAGTACTGAATATTCTGTTCTACCAAGAAATGAATCTGTCTTTTAGCCGGCGCTGTTTTATGAAAGATGGGGCACAACTGTTACGAAGTTATTCCTGCTGGATACCTCTCCCCAGCGGTGTCTGTTCTGAGCTGCCGTGTCCTTCGAACAGAAACCCTTGTGTTGCAGTGCCATCGTGTGGTAAACATGCACAATACTGCGTCCATTGGACGTGTAGTTTCCCCCCTTTCCCCCTAACGGTGGAAAAAGAAAAGGCGGATAAAAGGGAAAAACACACATCCTTTTAGGATCCCCAGATTTGCTGGATCATGTTATTTTCGTAGTACTTCTGGGATAAATGTGTTAATAAATAGAAGTCCTGGTTTGCAGAGATGCTGCTGCAGGGTTTGGTCCATGCTTCTATCTGTACTAACTCTCTGACATGGTTTCAATCACAGACGCCCTATCATCAGCAGCAGAGGTTTGAGAGGTTTTGGCAGTGTCCTGCTGGGTACTTTTCCCTTGAAGTCACAGCTCCTATGGAAACTGACAGCTCTCTGTGCTGCCTCCCTCGGTAGAGGAGCACTAAATGTGATTGCCAGTGTGGCAGGGGTTTAATGGATTGCCAGGCTGAAATGTACCTTTGGAAATTAGAAGCCTGCTGTGTGCACACTAAGCCACAATTAACAGAAAATAAGGCTTTAAGGAGACAAAAATAGTCATCAGCATTTTGCATTTCACAGGGAGGAAATGCTTCCTGTCCCTTCTCACAGCTGCTGAGCATCCATTTGCTTGGTGGAAAAGCATAGGGTGGTGTGCTGTGTTAATGTTTCTGGGTCTGGGTGGGGACAGAGGGACTTTGGGGACAGAAGGAGTCCATGACCCCCTCTCCCCCTCCCGTTGGGCCAATTAGATCCATCTGATATGGATAATCTGGAATGAAGATGCTGAAAATATAACAGTAGGGGCTTTAGAAGTGCTATTTAGCCACCAGAGTAGCAGTTACTGGGCTAACAACTCATGGCATGGTGCTGGTGGCACTGCGTGTGGCATCATAACCAAGTAATGCACAGGAATGCTATCCTTAAGCAAGGTCATTCTCCGACTAATTCACAGTTATTTTCTTGGTATGGCTGTATCTCAGCAGAAAATGATCTCTTCTAGTTTAATAATGAATGGGAATGAGCAAAGAGAAGGATTGTGCTTGCACACACAGCATTGCAGTGGAAGGCCAAACCCAGCCTGAGAACAAGCTCCTAGAATTGTACCTGTCCTCATCAGCAAGCTGGGAAGTGTCCCCCTGTCCTCCTATTTCTGGATGGTGGGGACTACACATCCCAGCTCCTCTCCTGGTGTGCTGAGATCAAAGGTAAAGTGATGAAAACTCCTGTCTGGTGGCACCTGGGGAGAGGACCAAAGGGCACAGCAGCTGCAGGAAGGTGTAGGGGATGGATGAGAAGAGAATCCTGCGGTTGAGTCAAATGAAATCCTGGAGCAGTGAGAGCAATCGATCAGGTAATATTGCACTGAAGAAAATAAAACCAAGTAAGGTAGGAAGAAAAAAAAAAAAAAAAAGAAGAAGAAAGAAATTGAACAGAGAAATAAGCAGAAAGAGGAGAGGTATTTGGCTGTCAGACAGAAGGAGAAATAGATTTTTTCTGAAGAGGCTTAGGAAATGAAAATAATGATATAAGTGGGTTTAATTATGTCATTTGGCTCAAAAGGTTTCAGCTGAGCTCACCCTAAACTGTGGTCTTTGGGAACCCTCTCCCCTAGGCTGGATGGGATGGGTCTGCAGAAGGGCTGCACACTGCCTCTGTCCGACTTGTACAGCAGAGTCCAGCACTGCAGTTGTGATGCGGAAGGGGGAAACCTTTTTAAAGGGAGTAAAACAACTAGATGATTGTGGGAAAGGACTGAAATAAAACACGTGTTGCTTAACTAGGTTAAAAATCTGAGAGACTGCATGCTACCTGTATAGCTAAGAGCAGGGAAGAGTCAGCATTAGGAGAGTTTTCTTTAATTTTCCCCTGATTAATTATCTGTAATGCACAGCAGCAGAGGGCTGCAGCTGCTGCTCGGGGCTCCCCAGGTGCTGATTTTCCACCAGAGGGCAGCGCACGTCTGAAATTCCGCTGTGGCTCGCAGGGACGGAGTGCTGTGGGACGGAAAGAGGGACAAAAGCAGTGCTCGCAGCCTGTGATTTGTAAGTATCTCCCCCAGAATTGCACTGAGCGTTAGAGGGAAAGCGATTCTCAGTGCTGCACGGAGCAAAGGTGCGTATGTTGACTCGTATGCAATGTAACTCAGTATAGCCCAGGGCAACTGGAGAAAGGGATAAAGAAACAAAACGTGCGCAGAAGGACCATCTGTGTGTCAGAGGGTATGAATGGTATGTGCTAAAATGCTGCTTGCATTGTGGTATTGGCAGTGAGATCCCCTTTTGCTCTCCTGGTGGAGATAACCAGCACTCTTCTTGCTTGCTCTGACCCAGGCTGCCAAGCACAAATCCCTTCTCAAAGCTCAGCGCAACGCTAAGGATTCTGAAGGGAGCAAAAGAAAACTCCCTGTCTTATCGTGATGGGCATCCTACAGCATCATACGTCAGGAAAAGGGTGGTTGAACAGTTTTTCACCACTGAAAAATGCTTTTGTGGCAGCTGTGCGCTAAGGGGTCTGTTAAGTATTTCTTGGATTATTTAAAGATATTTGTTGCGTACAGTGTTGCCTTATGGTAGTATTACCAAACTGAAGGGAACTGAAGCTCTTTCTGCCTTGATAGTACTACCAAAGCATGAAAAAAAAAGTTATTAGACTGGAAAATCCACACATTTAAGTAACACCTCTTAAACAGGCATGTATGAGTCAGTCTCTGAATCACTGCGTAGCAGTGCTGCGCCGTCCATCCCAAAGTCAATCCTACAACATCTGTTCCCAACCCAAAGCCGCAGGAGCATGATGTGTGGCTAATTTAACAACTAATCCGTGTGCTTCTCCAAGCGGATGGCAATCAATGTATTTGCAGCAGGTGGTGCTGTGGAGCAGTCCTGTCGCTGTAACTGTGGCTGAGCTATTTTTCATACTGTGTTTGAAAAGTACTGAATATATACATTTACTTTCAGCTGATTTTTCCAATAGTTTCCCATTCTCTTTGTGTTACAGAGGCCTGTATTGCTCAGTGAACACCCCGTGGGTATGTGTTGTGTAATTAGAGGCTGGGGGTTGCAGGCAGCACAGCGGGGACTAACGCAGGTATTTGAGACAGAACAATCCAGCAAGCAATCAAAACCCGAAGTTTCTGAAGCCAGAAGGTTCAAAGCACTTGGACCAGCCTCAGTGTACTAGCAGGAGCATGATAAAACCTCAGGAAGCAGAAGCTGTTGGTGTCTGGCGCTGCAGGAGGCAGGCTTTGCTGCAGTTAAACTGCTGGCAGAGCCAGGGAATTGGGAATGTTAGCACTTCTGAAGTCCAGGAACTGAAGTGCTGGAGGACTTGGGACAGTGAGAGACGAAAGGCTCCAAGGGCAGTCCGATAGGGTAGGAGTGATTTGCTTTCTTTTAGGGAAACTAGAGTGGATGCAATGGGAGCCAAACAGCAAGATGTGCTCACTGGTTATTGCTGTTGTGGCAAGGAGCTAAGAAATTTTACACGTGACATCTTAAAACCTGATGAATCCTCACCTATGGGTGCTGAAAATCTGTTCCTGCTCTTAGGACCTCATTCTTGAAGAGCTGCATATTCTTCATCGTCTACATTTTCTATATTTTCAGGAATGTTGTGCTGCATCAAAGATTTGTTACTTCAAATAGTAACAGATCCAGTTCAGGGTTGTAGTCACCAAAGCTGAAGGAAAGGAAGATGGTCTTGCAGCTAATGCACCTTTCTGGGACTCAGACAGTAGTAATGAGTGTTCCTTTGGAGCTTGGCAAGGCCTGTGTGCAGACATGGGGAGGATTTCCCATGCTGCAGAGATCCAACCTGGTACTTACTTTACTGATTGCTTTAAAAGAACAAGGCAAAGAGGAACACGAGTAACCTAATTGATTAATATCCTTATGTTTTCAAGTTCATGGAGCTTTTTACAAAGCTTTGTGAAGGCAGTAAAAAAAAACCTGGTAGTTCCTAAAGCCAAAAAACAAGAAAATACTGAGATTGTTTAACATCTGTCATTAGAAACATTGTTCAGGAAGTGTAATTTTGCATGCTTCTCCCTTTTAGCCATTCCCTCCTCTCTTTATCCTATCACCAATGAACAGATTGTTACTGCCTTTCAAAAATAGGTGTCTGCCATCTGACTGGGTAAAATAAAAATGGTGAATTTTCTATGCTAATAGTTTAGAAGACCAGAAAACAATAAAGGATATAAAGCTGTAAAACAGTTTCCATAGCAAATACCAAGTGCTAGGCTTATAGGTAGCATAGGTAGTGCTGTGATTAACAGATACAAGTGCAGCACCTCGAGTTTTCTCTGTAACACATAAAAATAGATGCAGGATCTTTCAGCATTAGGTTATGCAGTATTTTAGGAAGTCTGCTGATGGAGATGAAGTTATGATGTTTACCATATGCTTTGGGTTGATGGTTAGACTACATGACCTTAGTGGTCTTTTCCAACCTTAATGATGATATGTTTCTATGATAAGATGAAAAAAACCAGTTTCCTACAGAACTTCATGCTGTATTGCTAATCTATTTGCACCACATCTTTATTTAGCTATTCAGGCCTGGTTCTCCTAACACATTTGTCCTACTTTTCTCCGGAGCAACTGATTTCTAGACACATGCTGCAGATTTTCTGCTCTGCAGCTCATGGAAGTCCCCAGAATAGCTGAGCTGGTTCCTGGTTGTCCTCACAGCATTGTTACACTAGCCCAGTTTTAATAAGCAGGTGTCACAGAAAGAACACAAGCTCAGGTTTGCAGGTTGGTGTAAGATGCCACCTGAAGAGGTGCTCAGTATAATATATCTCCTAACTAAAGTGTAAATTGCTATTAAACACACCAAGATTACTGGGGTCAAAAGTGAGCACACCAAGCTGGACACTCAGATGGTGACCTGGTGTTCTCTCACTGCACATTTTGATGCCAAAGTGTTCCCCTGCACTCTGTGCCATGGGCAGTAGAAGGCTAAAGTAACAATATTTTCCCCTTGAATTATAGCCTTTCAAGTTTCTCCATGTTTAGTATATGGGAAGTGTGCACACTGAGATTAGAAAAAAAAAGAAAAGAAAAATATCTTCTCTCAATAAGTCACGAGAGGAGACTTAATTACACTTACAGTTCCTGAACTGTAAGTTCCTGAACACTTATGTTCATTGCAGTCTGGAAGTTATTTCATGTGCTTGAAGTCAATTTGCAAGGGGCAGCAACACCTGCTCCTGCAGCACAGATGTCTGCTGGACCCTGTGCTGGTGGTCGTGGCCCAGCTTAGCCTGGTGCTGCCTGCCCACAGAGCAAGCCTCAGCAGGAGTGAGCAGAAGCCCAAGGCTTGTGTTCCTTGGTCTGAGGCCAGCCTCAGGGGTCGGAAGGGCTTAATGAACCCACGCTGTCATGCTGTTACTCCCCTGTTTTGGAGCAAGAGGGAAATATGCAAGATGAAAGCCAAAGGCTGAGGAGGGCATCTGTCTGAAGCTGTCGGGGATCTAGGGGCAAGCCTGTGACTTCTGCTCCAAAGCACGTTGGCCTGTTGTCTATCTCTGATCACTGTGTGTCCATGTCAACCTGTGGAGAAACATTGCTTCTTCAAAAGATGTCTTATTGGCTGGGGATTAAACAGAAATTCAGTGGGAATCACAAGGCACTGTGTCAACTGCAACTACTTCAATTTCACTCTGAAAATAAAGAGCATGCAATATAACATTGCTGACTTTGCACTGAAAAATGAGAAAAATAAAATGAGTAAAAAGGAGATTCCTCTATATGCTGCCCCTACAGATGAAAGCAGTGTTGAGGTGCTGGGATCTGCCCTTGGATAGATTTGTGCCAACTGACACATGCTGTGCAGGGATGCATCTCCTCACCCCTGTAATTATGGCTCAGGAAATAATTCCAATCCACTGAAAGAAATTAAATCCACTTAAATCCCTTCTGAGTGCGAGTTGGCAAGACCCAGGTGGCTGCAGAAAGAGAGCAGGAGAATTGGGGTTGTGCCAAAATCACCTGCAGTGAGAACAGCAGAGCTCCTGGGAAGCCCTGGGCCTCCTCACTATGCTTTCCCCTCTCCCCCCCCTAGAAAAGCTCTGTTTTCAATTCTCTATGTGTGTGGGGGGTTGGGATGGTGCAAATCCCAATCCCTCAGCCTGCTGGGTGCCTGCAGGAGCAGAAGGCTGCACTGTGCCTAGGGGTCTCCTGGTAGTGGTCCCCATAGCTGACCAGGTCCAAAGCAGACAGATGTGCACCCAGCACATCTGCTGTAGCCATCCGATGAGTGGGAAGGTGCTTGGCCTCTGCTGGAGCAGAATCTCATTCTTCCCAGCCAGCAAAGCCAAGCAGAAAGCGTGGGTTGCTGTCTCAGCCATGTGAACAGGTTGACTAGTTTTAACTGGAGAGGCACTTTCAGGTGAAATGTTGAATCCTC